GCTGTTCTATATTTTATGTATTTAATAAAATAATTACAAATAACAGTGGAGTCCAGTTTTGTTAATTTTTGGATCAAAATACCAAATTTTTATGTTTGAAAGGGTGAATAAGGATTAGACCTTTCTTTTCAGGAATTCACAGTCAAGTATGGAATATGAACATGAAAACAAATAATTGAAGTATATTGTGATAAATGGGGTAGTACAAATATGTATGAAATGCTATATATGTCAGAGAAGGGAGCTATGCCTACACAGTCAGAGCAAGGCCACCCTAGAAGAGGTGGCCTTCGGTCTTGAGAGGCACCTAGCATTCTAAAAATAGCATGAATTTTAAAGTTAGACCTAAGTTTGAATTAGCTCTGATACTTACATTAGTCAAGTTACTTAATTTCTGTGAACCTTGGCTTTTTCAGTTATATAAAATACAGTTAATATGTGGGGTTTTTTTGTGGTGTTGTTTTAAAAAAACTAGTAGGTAAAGCATCTAGCATAGTGTCGTAATCACACATGTTCTTACAAATGGATATTGGTTCCTTTATTGTTTTCATTAATATGTTAATTATTATTATTGCTGAATTAATAAGGATTAGGTGCAAAATAAGTTAAAGGGATATAGACTTAGTGAGGAAAGATGCCAAAGCAGGAAAGGTCTAATAAACTGGAAGAATAGAGAAGGCTATCTGAGTTTTTATTTATTTTTTTATTGAGGCATAACTTACATATAGTTAAATGCCCAACCTCTTGAATTTTAAGTTACATATAGACCCATGTAACCACTTCCCAGATCCACAGAAGAGTGCCTCTTGGCCCCTCCCAGTCAGTTCCTTCTACCAACAAAGGTAAACTACTGTAACAACCTCTATCCCTATAGATCAGGTTTGCCTTCCTGAACTGTATATAAATGGAGTCATACAGTATGTGCTTTTTTTTTTTAAATGGAAAGACATGACTTTTTTCGCTCAGTATTGTGTCTGTTGTTTTCTGTAGTAGTAATTGGTTCTTTTAATTAGTACTACATTGCTGTGTAACATTCCATTGTGCAAATATATTCATTTATTCAACCTTAATAACCATTTGAGTTGGCTTCAGACTTTGGCTATTATGAATAAAGCTGCTGTGAACATTTTTGTATCTTTGATGAATATACACAACCATTTCTGTTGGGTATATCTAGGATTAGAATTGCTTTGTGTTAGAATATCCATAAATTCCGCTTTAGTACGTACTTTCAAATAGTTTTCCAAAATGGGTTATGCCGCATTATACTCTCATCAGTGGTGAATAGAGTTCCATTTGCTCCACATTCTAATCTGTACTTGAAAGGTAGTATCCCTTTAATTTTAGACATTTTGATGAGGATATAGGTTTCTGTATCATTGAGGCAGTTGGGAGGATAGTAGGAAGAGAATTTACTACCTAAAATCACTACCAAGCAAACTTGGTAAAAGCCCGCTCAGCGGGGAGTCTGCTTCTCCCTCTGACCCTCTTCCCTCTTGAGGTCTCTGTCTCTCATTCTCTCTCTCTCAAATAAATAAATAAAATTAAAAGTCATGATCTGAAATTGCTCTGCATTATTAATAATGGTCAATAATGTGTTATAGGCTTCAGAATTTTGTCTACAAATACCACTTTTTTAAAAAATAGAGGAGTAATTTTAAAGTAATTTTGAATCTCCACACATGGTAGAAAATAATAATTCATTAATATTAAGAATTATTATAGGGGCTGCGCCTGGGTCACTCAGTTGGTTAGGCGTCTGCCTTTGGCTCAGATCATGATCCCTGGGTCCTGAGCCCCACATCAGTCTCCCTGCTTGGTGGGGAGCCTGTTCCTCATTCTCCCTCTGCCACTCCCCCTGCTGTGCTTGATCTCTCTCTGTCAAATAAATAAAATCTTAAAAAAAAAAAATTCTCCCTCGCCCTCTGTCCCTCCCCCCCATGCTCACGTGCTCTCTAAAATAAATAAATCTTAAAAAAGAATTACTTATTATAAAATGTTACTACTGTAAATAAATATTTTAGAATTTTTAAACTGAAGTAACTTTGGTTTGCTTTAAAGTCTAAAATTTTGGTAAGTTATTTAAACTTTCATGCTGCATTTATGAAATAGTTTTGTTTCCCCCTAGTAGTGGGATTGAGTGATCCTCCTTACCAGAGTTGGGGGGTGGGAAGATACCTTTTTCATATTACAGAAACAATTCAATAAAATCTCTGGATTAGGAAATTGGAATGGATTTGTTTTTAGCTAATAAAAGTCAAATAGAGAAAAATGGTATTATTAATATGTTAGAAATGATTTTTAAATGCTTCAGGCACTGGTGCTACTGATGATTTTTTAAGTGCTGCTTTATGAATAATTATGTATGTATTTTTAATATAGGCTTTTATTGGACTTAGAGCAAATTATTATAGGGAAGAGTTAATACTTGCCCTCAAAAGTAGAAGGAACATCTTTAAATGGAGTACTGCTCCTTTTTTTAAAAATTTTTTATTGTTATGTTAATCACCATACATTACATCATTAGTTTGAGTACTAATGTACTCAAGGAGTAACTCCTTTTATACCTGCCACACAAATTTCAGTATTAACATTTCTCTAATTGTACTCTTTTTTTTTTTTTTAAGATTTTATTTATTTATTTGACAGATAGCAAGAGCAGGAACACAAGCAGGGGTAGTCAGAGTGGGAGAAGCAGGCTTCCCACTGAGCAGGGATCCCAATGCGGGGCTTGATCCCAGGACCCTGGTATCATGACCTAAGCCGAAGGCAGACGCTCAACCAACTGAGCCACCCAGGCACTCCTCTCTAATTGTACTCTTAATAACATTAATCTGTTAATTGCTTTTGGCATAGTGTTATGTTAATGTGTTACATGACTGCAGGGATCTGTGCATGTTCATCCCAGTACATTCATGTATTTTAGATTCATTCTTTTAGAATTTGTATACAATAGTCAGTGCTGATGATCATCTTAAGAGTCAACGTGAATTGAATGTATACTATGTGGAAAATACTATGCTAAATACTTTCTAATGGATCCTCATTTAATTCTCACAAAACACATTGTTAGGTTTTTCTTAAGTCTGTCACTCAGTCTAGATTTTTCTCTAGTCCTTTATCACCAATTCTAGAATTGTTTCTGATTTGGCAAGAGGTGTTAAAAATATGCTGGGTTGGTTCTTTCATTTAGGATTCTTCATTAGAAAAGAGTTCACTGGAGGGACGCTTGGGTGGCTCAGTCAGTGGAGCAACCGACTCTTGGTTTCAGCTCAGGTCTTGATCTCAGGGTCCTGAGATCAAGCCCTGCCCACATTGGGCTCTGTACTCGGGGGTGGGGGGGAGTCTGCTTCTCTTTCTCTCTGTCTCTCTCTCAAAATAAATAAATAAATCTTTTTTTTTTTTTAAGATTTTTTAAAAAATTTTATTCATTTGAGGCACAGAGAGAGCAGAGAGCATGAGCAGGGGGAGAGGCAGAGGGAGAAGGAGAAGCAGGCTCCCTGCTGAGCCAGGAGCCCAACGTGGGGCTCCATCCCAGGACCCTGGGATCATGACCTGAGCTGAAGGCAGATGCTTAACCGACTGAGCCACCCAGGTGTCCCATAAATAACTAAATCTTAAAAGAAAAAAAAAAGTCACTAGAATAAAAGCTCCATGAGGCCTGAGTTCATGAAAAGTGCTCGGAGCACATAAGAGAGGTATTTAGCTTGATGTTGATGGGTTCAGGAAAAGACTTCATTGCCTTTGTAAGCCTTAATTTATTCTAAAGAGTTATTGTACTACATATGATCCCTTAGAAGGGTTTTAAACTATAATAGTTTAACACTGTATGTTTAGTCTAGGCTTTTGTACCAATATACATCAAATATAATGTATATTTGAAATTGGATGACTTACATGCATTTGCTTCTTAATGCCTGTATGCTATATAGTAATACTAAAATAATAATAATGTTTTTTAAAGGTTTTGAAAGAGGAAAGGAAGACATTTCTCAAAATAAAGATGAATCTTCACTTTCTATGTCAAAGAGCAAGGTAAGCATGTGTTGTCCCCAAATCCATGATTATGGCATTTTTCTAATATTTAAGAAGAAGAACAATAAAATTCTATCAGATTTTTATGGGATGTTTTTATGTTGGTATATCTAAATCATGCAGTATATATGAAAAAAGGAAAGTTCCACTGGGGTTGATGTCGGTCCTGTTGGTTACTTAGAAATACAGCCTATTGGTAACCAGTGTGTTCTCTCCAGAGTTATATTGCTTCTGATATGTCTGTTACTGTAGTACTTCTCAGACTGAGAGTTCCATTCGGAGAAGTTCTCAGGATTCCTTGTGTTTTGTTTTGTTTTGTTTTTTAACTCAAGTGTTTTGAGTTTATTTGAATGACAGTCTAAATACATACATTTTGGGGCACCTGGGGGGCTCAGGCGTTAAATGTCTGCCTTCAGCTCAGGTCATGATCCCGGGGTCCTGGGATCGAGCCCCGCATCGGGCTCCCTGCTCCGCGGGAAGCCTGCTTCTCCCTCTCTCCTCCCCCTGCTTGTGTTCCCTCTCTCACTGTGTCTCTCTCTGTCAAATAAATAAATAAAATCTTAAAAAAAAATACATTTTACCAGTTAAAGGCCAAAGGTCTCTTGCAGTAATGGCCTGCAATTGAAAGACATTTTCTTAGAATGAGATACAGTTTCCTAAATTAGTAATTCTCAAACTGGGATACTTGTACATATTTTTACTGTTGAGAACTTTTTCTTTAAGAGTATATATTCAAATTTGAGAAACACTATGTAATACATTGGTTTTCCTATGGGTTTGTAGTTCACTATATTTGCTATAATTTGTTAAACAATTTGACTTCTGACTGTTATTTCAGGTCAGGTTCAATAGAAGAAGCTTTTGTTTGTGGAATCAAACTTCAGTGACTATCAGAAAATCTATTTCTTAAGCTAGTAAATTCTCTGCTGTTCTCAGCTATTGAGTGCTGCTACCCATTATTTTTCTGCCACAGCTCCTACTCTCTAGCTGTCCTTATGGTAGCAGTTATGGCATTCCACTGTGGGAAAGAAACTTACATGATTAAACACCTCTTCCTTAACAAAATAGAAGTGGACATATGTATGACGAACAGAACATGAAAAAAACCTACGTTTTTGTTTCCATTCATGGCAATGGTTGAGAAGAGTTGATTTTTTTAATGTATAATTTTATACACATTTTATCCACACTTTTCAAGTATTCATTACTTAAATATCTATCATATGTGTAAAAGTACTTAGGATAGAAGTTTAATAGTACCGTGTATATATATATATATATATAACATTCCAGTAAGAAATCCCTTGATCATTTTATGAGATGTGTAAAGAAAAAATAATTTATTTTGAGTCTTCAATAGCTAGAAATATAATGAAATCTATAGAACTTTTTAAAACCTGTTTTCAAGCAGTTAATACCAGAATTGGTGAATATGTGGTAGAACAGTATTCCTTCTCAGAAGTCTAAATACTTAAACTCCATACTTATATATCACAGCCACCTATATATAGTCTCTAAATTGGGGAGAGGGGAAGAGGGAGGGCAGGGAGCCTGAAAAGAAAATTTACATACCTTAATGAAGCAGGGTGGATTAATGAAAAAAAAAAAAGGCTTTGGAACTGTACTTTTAATAGCTCCAATCATATTGGACTCTTTAAATTTAAATTAACTAAAATCAAATGAAATTAGAAGTTCCTCAGTTACACCAGCCATATCTCAAGTGCTCAGTAGCCACATATAGTATTTTTGTCATTCAGAAAGTTCTGCTGGACAGCACTGTTTTAAAGTCAAAAAAGCAAGTTTGAGTCTTGATTCATATACATTACCTGTGACTTCTTAGATACTAATTACAGTGATATTAATAGCTATTTGGTATTAAGAGCTTACTGTGTGTCACCTTAACTCTCATAGCAATACTAGAAGGTGGTAGGTATTATTGGCCCCATGTTCTAAGTGAACAAACTGAAGCTTAGAGAAATTAAATAAGGGTCAGAGTGGTAAAGCTGGGATTCAAAATGGCTTCAGTTTTCTTATCTGTACAAAGGAGATAAGATCCACATCCCAGATTGTGATACTGCAAGTGCCTGACAGAGTACCTGGTTAATAGTAGGTATTTGAGAATTCATCTTCATTTTTTGAATAAGAATTACAGTGAAGGACACCTGGCTGGCTCAAGTGGTAGAGCATGCGACTCTTGATCTTGGGGTTGTGAGTTCAGGCCCCACGTTGGACATAGAGCTTATTTAAAAAGGGAGGGGGAATTACAGTGAATGAATGGGATTCTTAACATGGTAACTAGTGTAAGTAAAATTGTTCTTAAAGTCTGATATTTTCCAACAGTTGAAACTTATTGATTCTATCTTAACTTAGATTTAATCCTTGTTTATTCTGTTAGCTGAAGAGATGCATAATCACCAGTTTGTCCTTAAATACTCTAACACATAACCCAGTCTTGTTTTTCACAACAATCCTAAAATTTATACATTTATCATTAAACCACATTCTCATGGAATTCTGAACATTTTAACCTTACTTAAGTAACTTCAGGAAACAAAGTTTTGTTATTCCTTCTATAATCAGTGTGCATAACTGAGACCATCATAATTTTAACTTTATATTTTTCTGATTTGATGCAAAAAGTATTAAAGCCATTTTGGTCATAGGATTTGGGATTATTTCTTAAAATACATGATTAAGACCAGTAAGCACAATGGAATACACTTTTTTGCCCCCCCCATTTAAAAAAAAATACAGTTTCTATTTCTCATGCATCCTATAAATGAGTGGATTGGAAAAGTCAGTTAATCAAATCCATCTCATCTTGCTGTTAGCATTTTTAAATGAATTTTTAGTAGTCCATCTCAACAAAAGGAATTTCCAGCATGGGTACTGTGTCTAGTGGTATAAAAGTAATCCTACTACAAGGATAGTGGTTTTTGAGTCCAGATCTATTTATTGACTTGATTCTCCAGGCATACATATATCTGCTTATTTATAGGGATGCTACATGTCTATCACTTGATGTAAAAAATATATTTACCTGGACATTTAAAAAACTCTTCCAAATCAGGACATCTGATCTAGTCATATTAACATTACCATTATCCCTTATATCTGTAGTATTTTGTAGTTTTCAAAGCAAGAGGAAAGTATTCTCATATGTAAATGTTCCATTTATTTAAAGGTCAGATTTTTGATAGCACTTACACTCTAGAGGATAGTCACAAATCTGAAACACAATAAAAACCAAGTAGTGTGTTAAACACATCATGCACACTACCTCATTTAACTCTCAGAGCAACCCTACAAGTTAATAAGAGTATCCTCACTTTACAAACAAGGAAGCTAAGACTGAAAGAGATTGAATAACCTCCTGAAATCACACAGCCCGGAAGAGGATAATAGTTATGGGGGGAAATGAAAAGAAGGAAGGAAAAAGAAAATGTAACATACTGAGCATTCTAAGGCCATTTAATGAAGAAGCAAACAGTACTATACATTAAACCCTGTGGTCATCATTAAGATAGGGTTCAGTAAGGTTGTAAAAGAAGGACTAAGTTTAGTAAAATATTTCCAACAAAAATAGTTTGAGTTTTGGTATTTAAAAGGAAACCTGTTGATACAGAAAACTTTGGTACAGTGTATGTAAAAAGCTTGTAGAATTTGGTCAGTGGATCTTTTTTTCCACCAGAACTGGCTACACAGAATGGCAAGGATTCCTTGAAATATCTGTTCTCTAAAATTTACCAAGCTCAGGTGACCCCCTTCTGGCCTGCAGGTGCCTTATATTCTAGAATCTTTTAGGAATCACCAAGCCAGATCTTGTCATGTCAGGGAAACATATTTCCTGTTATTCATGAAGATAAATCTTAAATTTGAGTCTGGCTAAAATTCTGTGTGAGTAGTTTTAAAAGGTGAGAAATCATTACAGTGAAATGGCTAAGAGCATGAGACTGGGAATTAGGTAGACCGGGGTGCAAATCCCAGCTCATCTCCTTACTGGCTCTGTGACTTTGGGAAGTTATTTTTAATTGGTTAGTCTTGGTTTTCTTATTAGCAAAAGGGAGATACTATCTCATAGGGTTGCTTTGAGGATTAAATGAGGTAGTGCACATGAAGTGTTTAGGAAAGTACTTGGTAAAGAATAAGCAGCCATTTCTATTAGCATTTATTCTTCATTTACTAGTGTCTAAGAAGTACATTATAATATACATTTTCCTATTAAGCTGTGAGAAATAGAAATCATCCTATTTTTCTGACAGTAGCTGTGCCATCTTTAGGTTCTTGGGGGCAAGGAGAAGACAGAGACCGTTTGGCTTGAGCAACTTTGTAAAATTGTTTTGGTATCACAGTCAGTGTGCCATTGCCATGAGAGTAAGTAGTATGATGTTTCAAGTTCAGTTCTCAAAGGAGTGACTTTAACAAAAATTTAATTGGGTTAATTCCCATCTTCTGCATTGTACATAGTTTGTAGTTCCCTTCTATCTAGTGCAGCCAGTTATTGTCATCATCACCATAATAACCCATATTTCATACCAAGTAGCAGAGGTGTTTTTTCAGAGAGGTAAAAGAAATGAGTTGCAAATGCTAGTTTAATTTTCATTTTATTCATCAGATATTTAGTGAGCCCTTTCTTTTCCCCAGGTGATAGCTGGGTATCATTGGTGAATAAGTATGGTCCCTGCCTTCATGGTTCCTCAAATTGAGCGAGGGAGTTTATACCCAAAATTTTGTTATCTGTAATCATACCTAGTGCTTTGCAGGTCTAGCCATTCAACATTTGAAAGCCACCATTTGGATCAAGCCCCATATACTTTCTTGGCACCAGGAGTCATGCTAAGTACTTTAAATACCTTCTCCTGTGTCTAACAATAGATAAAACAATAGATAAAAATGAAAATCATAGGACACAGGACACTAAATGTGCCAGCCAGGCACCCCTGATTAGTGTTTATTTTTTGCTTTAGTTTAAAAGCTAATCCATGTTAAACCCACAAAAATGGACACCTGAAAATTTATTTTTGCCTAAATCACAGCAATAAATGGGAAGAGTTCACAAACATAGCTTTAACATTAATTTTTTATATGCTGTATATGTAGAATAAGTGAAGGTTTTAATTATGATTTCTCTTTTGTTCATTTCTGTGTGATTTCAGTCTGAATCTAAACTTTATAATGGCTCAGAGAAGGATAGTTCTGCTTCAAGCAAGCTCACAAAGAAAGAATCTCTCAAGGTTAGTTTCCATTTATTTCATAAATAACATTGTGCTTTGCATGTGCTTTTGAAAGTAGGCTAACAAGATAAATATGTGTCTCCTAAAGGAAGAAAAATAATATCCAGACAGGCACACACAAAGAATGTTAATATTTGTATGGCACACTGGAGTCAACTGAAGAGGCTACTTGATGACTGTTCACCTCTGTCTCCGGCCTCACCTGGCCATTCCTTTGGCTGAGGACTGGACAGCTCTGCACACTTGGACCTAGTTGGGCACATCACTGTGTTGTAGAACCTTTTATGGGAAGCTCTGGTGCTTTTTGAAATTCAGGTTTACTAACTTGCAGGGTCGTGGGCTGAATTTGGCCCACAGGTAGATACATTTGTTTGTTGTATACAGTGTTTTAAAAATTTGAGGTAACAAATACAAGTTCAGCTTTCCAACTTCTCTTTAAGAAATATGCACTTGGGCTCGCCTTCCAGAATGGCCTGCGGATCCTGGATCTTAAGAAACACATGCTTTCTAATTGACTCTTATCCCTATGTGGGTCTATTTTACCCCTTTTTTTCTTATATCTGATCCTGTATGCATTTGCATTTGCAATCCCATATTAAATCTACTGTTACTCAGATATGCATATTAGTCAAGACCAAAAGTCTGAAGTTTTTTGACTGTAGAATTATTTAAATTTTGTTAGGTGTATATAGTCTTTTTGTCATTAAGTGTAAAACAGGAAGGTTTTATAGCTAAAAGAAATGTATCACTGATAGTTTATCACCACTCTTCCATCCATTTAATAACAACAAAGTAATAATAAGATTATATTAATCCACTGCAGCCTTCCCAAATTATCTCAGAGGTAACTTATGAAGATAA